GAACAAAGAAAGGATAGTCTCTTGGCTATAAAGAACCAACCTCTGCCTCAGAAAAAGAGACAAAGGATTTCCGTACCCCATGAGACGGCACAAGTATTTTCATCTTAACCCACTTGCTATGACTCTATGTGCCTCTGTGTTGGTTATCCTGGGGGCACATGTTATCCCCTGGGGAATAATAGGAGGTAGGAAAGTATAAGAAAGGTCCAGAATAATCATTGAACATCTTATTACAGTCGCAGTACTCAGTATGGAAAGATAACAAGTACTTGAAAATATCAGCGACATAGTAAAAACAAATTCACATACATTGTTCATTGATTCATTCATCAGCTACTTACTGAGTACCTACTCATGCATTCAACATATGTGAACATCAGTCAAAGCCTCTACCTTCATGGAGTTTATATTCTACTGGTAGAGACAGACAGTATAGAGATGGGAAATTCAAAGTGATTTTTCATGTTTTAAAGTTTATTTATTTTGAGAGAGAGAGAGAGAGAGAGAGAGAGAGCGAGCATGAGCGAGTGCATGAGTGGGGTGGGGCAGAAAGAGAGGGAGAGAGAGAGAATCCCAAGAAGGCTGCACGTTGTTAGCAGAGAGCCCAAGGTGGGGCTCTATCTCAACCGTGAGATCATGTCCTGAGCCGACAGCAAGAGTCAGATGCTGAACGCACTGAGCCACTGAATGCCTTCAAAGTAATTTTTTAAATGACACAGGAAATGTCATAAACACTTCAGGCTGGGAAGGCATAGGTGCTACTTAGGCTTGAGAGCTCCTGGGGTGGGGGGGGTACCCTCACTCTCCCCTGGGACTTGAAGCATTCGGGAGAAAATATTGAAACATACAGGACAGTACTTAATGTAAGGACACTGCCCCGGAGACAGGAATTGGGTCACTTGGAGCCAGAATACACTTTATGCTTCTGCTTAAAAGCAACATTTTTGTGTGTGCTTTAGATCATAGGAACGGTGGTTCAGGGCACATTAAAGGATAGAGGACTGGTAGTGGGTATCCAAAGATAAAAGAGAGTCTGTGGGTCAAAATAGGAAGCGTTGAGTATTCTATGTCCCTTTGTAGATGCAGAATACACATTAGCCTAGGATATGTTGTAAGGAGTCAACAGTGACCAACTATTTCTCATTGAATGTAAGATACCACTGATCTTAAGATGTACCGTTACTGTATTTGCCACTAAGCAAGGAAAAGGAAAAAGTATAATTGTAATATATTGTCAGTTATGAGATGCATCCTGATTTGAGAGGTGTTAACATGTGAGAAACTGTGAGATGTGGAACTGTTGGATAGAATCAGGTTTAGTTCTTAGATATGCCAAACTAACTGGGCCTTTCTTCTCCGATCCAGGCTATGTTGTGACGGTTTACCCTTATTTTATTTTAATTACCATACATGGATATTATAGGATGCTAAGGTTGTGGCTAAGATAACTCTCTGATCAAAGATGATTTGTGTTCCTTTCCATAACATGGAATTGGTGTTGTGGAGCCGTATATCCCAGTGTGTGTGTGTGTGTGTATGTGTGTGTGTGTGTGTGTGTGTGTGTGTGTGAGTGGGTGTGAGTTTTGGGTGGTGGGTAGAAGGCTTGAAGCTTACGAGATAGAGTCCTCACTGGGTGTGGTCTTGGGACTGGTTCTGGCCAATAATGTGTGTGTAGAGATAATGTAGGTCACTTCTGAGCAAGGATTTCTAAGTATCTGTGTGTCCTCCCATGCTCTCTTCACCTTCCACAGCAGACTTAGAGGCTGAATACTGTATATTCTACCATAATGAAATAAAAGGATCCTGGACCCACGAACCATTCTTGGAGTACCTCCAATCAGGAATATTCTTGCTGAACATTGCATGGGCAAGAAAGAAACGTCTCTTGTTTTAAGTCACTGAAATGTGGAGGTAGATACAGAAATCAGCCTATCCTAGCACAGGTCAATTTTTTTCTTTCTTTATTTCTTAGCAAGTATGTAGTGGCTGCCAAATAATACCAAACACTTCTTCCAAAACTCTGATGAAGATGGAAATTCCTCAACTGACTGAATGCTTATGGGTCCTGAGCTGACCTTGCTCCACAGGGATTAGAAGAGCAAGTTGCTTCCCACGGACCTGGCGGGGTCTCCTCAACTGTACCCAGGGTGTGATTATTACTGTATTGCAGTGGAAACTATGGGCCCAGGAGTTTCTCTTTTGTATTTGATACACGGCCTGTCTCCTGGCAGGGGCACACAGAACTGAGAGCTCTTTGACTGAGGTCAATAGATCATGGTGTGTTAATCCCATGGAAAGAAAAAAGCATCTTTACAAGGCACTATCATTAACTCCCCGTTCTTGGCTAAGAATAATTTTCAAGAAGACTTCTATAAAATGTGTGTATTCACATCCTTGAAACATAGTCTGGGAGATTGTCTTCAACCCCTTCTCTTAGCCCTCATCTTGGCCATCATGGGGTTTTCTCCTTAGCGATGGGAAGAAAGGGGATTTGCACCATTACACATACATTACTCTATCCCCTTGAGTGCTGTGTTCTAGTAATGGGGTCTTGTTCTAGTAACAAGACCTTGTTTTGTCTGGCGTGAAATAACACACATTTGTTTCTTAGAAGGTAGAATGTGTGTGTGTGTGTGTGTGTGTGTGTGTGTGTGTGTCTGGGTGTGTCTGGGTGTGTCTGGGTGTGTCTGGATGTGTCTGGGTCTAGTGGGTGTTAGAGGCATAAGGCATGAGGTCTAGGCAATACACAACATTAGAATATTATTAACATGAGGTGATTTTATTTGCATTTTAGAAACATTGCTTTGCTTTCAGGATAAGGGATGGATTAGAAGAGTTAAAACATTGGCAAAAATGAGCCTGGTCCCTGAGAGACCCGTTAATAGTGTATTCCGCTAATTCAGGCCAAGGGATATATTCAATGGCAATGCTAATAGAAATGAAGACTGACATTTTAGAATTATTTTATAGATCAAATCTCTAGGAAATGGTAGAATGTTTTATTTTAAAGTGTAGGTTTTATCATTCAGGTGTGGTGAGACCAACAGATCAAGAGATGATTGCCATTGAAAATCTAGTTTGTTATTCACAGTTCCCAAGAGGAAGGCCACACACTGCACCATGCAGGGCCACGTGTGGAAGCACCGGCATCTGTCAGGAGGCATAAAGAGCAAACAGAAGACACAGGCAGGAGGTTTGGTTGTAGTTTCTGAAGTAGGAAAGGCAAGAAAACATAAGGTCAGCAGGTTTAGACTTGGCTAGTATGAATAATTTCAGGAAGCTATGGGGTATAGGTGCTTTCTCTAGGTATCTGGTACCTGGTATCTAAGGCAGAAAATTGCCTCCTAGAGTATATAAGCCAGGCAGAAAAGGCATTCAAAGTATGAGCTTAGGATTGGTGCATTTGTATATGAAAAGTGAACTCCAGAGCAAATCACTTGCTGTCAAAGGACTGTCTAGCCCTGGGAGGGACAGTCTATCCTAGCCAGCAACGCTGGGAGGCAGAGCAACAAAAATGCAGAAAACAAGAAAATGTAGTTAATGTGCATTTGATGAGAAAAAAGAGGAAGTCAAAGCGATTTCCTTCTGGGATGACTATGTGGAAGTGAAATGCTATTTACATTTCAGAGAACTATTCTTCTTTATTGAGCACCTACTCTGTGCCAGGCACTGCTCTATGATCTTTACATAGTCTCAATCCTCAAAGCAAAAGTTTGACAGTGGGACTATTTTTAGCTTAATTGTATACTTGTGTTGAAGAAGACTGCAAGCGTTTGTGCTCAGTTGTCTAGTCTATGACATGCTCCCTCGGAGCTTGATTTTAGAGATGTTGAACTTGAGGTGCCAGCAGGACATCTTGGTAGAGCCAACTAGGACACAATGCTAGCAATACCCCCATTTTTACCGATGTTCTTGTTTAACAGAAACTTGCCTCGCACTTGCTACATCCCAGATACAGCTCTAAGAGTTTAACAAATGCCAACTCATTTAATCCCATAGCAATAATTTGAGGTATTATTTTATCCCCATTTTACATATATTTTTAATGATTATAATAGCTACCAATTTATGGAATATACTGATGAAGCATGTACTGGACTAAATATTTTATGTAGATTAACTAAAGTTGATCATGTAAGACAAATGTGATTTATCTCCATTTCAAAGGCTAGAAAACTAAGGCTTAGTGGCTTGCATCATTGGACTACTGTCCCATGGCTTGATTTTTGTGAATTTCATAGATTCGAGCTTTGATTCTGATTAAAGGCATTTTGACCAGAAATTAAGGATCAGTAGTATGAAGTGACTGACAAATGCCATGGGGCCATCCTTAAGTCACCCAGCCTCAGTTTGGATTTCAGTATATCTGATTCTTCATTCCAATCTCTTCCCAATATTGCTGGGCTTTCAAACTGTGGTTCACTGGAGCTGTGTTTTCAGTCAGTTTCACAAAAGTGAATTTCTTCACAAGATTTCACAAGAGCTGACGTTGCTACGGGCTGAATTGTATTCCCCTCAAAATCCATGCTGAAGTTCTCCAGTCCCTCAGAACGTGACTGTGTTTTGAGACTGAAGCTTTAAAAAGGTAATTAAGGTAAAATGAAGTCATATAGATGGACCCTAATCCAAAATGACTGATGTCCTTTTAAGAAGGGGAAATTGGGACACAGACACACACACACACACACACACACACACACACACACACACACAGGGAAGAGCAAGTGAAGGCAGCCACCTGTATGCCGAGGAGAGAGCCTGAAGAGCCGTCATCCCTGCCCACACCTCCATCTCAGACTTCCAGGCTCCAGAACTTCATGAGGAAATAAACATCTGCCCTTGAAGCCCCCCCACCCCCACCCCAGTGTGTGGTAATTTGTCACAGTAGCTTTAGGAAATGAATACATACAGTGAGTTTCCTGTACTAAAACGAAACTGGAAAGCCACGTCCTGGATTGTTGCGCAGGCTGTTTGACCAGTTTGATTGCTTTCCTAAATTCACTAACCAGGAGGTCAGATGACTTCCCGGGATCAAAGTCAGCTTCCTCTTGCTGTTACTCGGACCACTGATCTGCAGACATTTTCTTCTTCTTCTAACTTCCCCTCCTGTGACTGGGGACATAAATATTAGAGAAACAAAAGCCCAGAATGCTAAGGTTGCCTTTCTCACTTCCTCTTGCCTCGGAACGCAGCGTTGCTTTGAATACAGTCATTGTCCTAGGGCACTGAGCAGGGGAGAGAAAGCGGCAGTACCCCGGAGGCCACACCAGCAGGCGGATACAGCGTGTCATGTTTCACCGAGCCATTTGTGGACACAGAAAATGCCAGAATGATGCCTCCTACCCGCCTGGCTGGGACTCTGATCCCAGCCATGGCCTTCCTCTCCTGCCTGAGACCTGAGAGCTGGGACCCTTGTGTGGAGGTATGTGGTTAGTGTCAGCTCATCTCCTATGAGATTTGTCTTGCTTCTGAAAAACTGCTCTCTGCTCAGAACTTCCCACTGTGGATCCCCTGCTAGTTGCCGAATTTCATTTGCAAAAAAGAGTCAAATTACCTTAAGGACTTGAGAAGGCACAGGGACCAAACAATTCATTGTTCCATGGCACCAACAGGTAGCCCATGGGTCATGTCCCATTCAGGACTTTAAGTGCTAATAGTGGCTTTAGGTCAGATCTGCTTAAAATCACTGTTCTTTGACTTCTGGGCTGTGTGATCTTGAAGAAGTTATTAAACCTCTCTGAAGCTAGTTTTCACATCTATGAAAGCATTATAATAATACCCGCTTAAACAGAGAGCTGTAAGAAGTCTGCTTCCTGTCATTTCCTTCTGCTAGTGGTCTGTACTCTCAGCTTCAAGCACTCACTTCACCCCTTTCAATCTCAGGAAGGAGTGTGTGAGTGTGTGTGTGTGGGGTGTGTGTGTGTGGGGGGGTGTGTTTTCTCTTAATAGGGAGAACTTTCTTTTTTTTTTTTTAAATTTTATTTTCAATGTTTTTATTTATTTTGGGGACAGAGAGAGACAGAGCATGAACGGGGGAGGGGCAGAGAGAGAGGGACACACAGAATCGGAAACAGGCTCCAGGCTCTGAGCCATCAGCCCAGAGCCCGACGTGGGGCTCGAACTCACGGACCGCGAGATCGTGACCTGGCTGAAGTCGGACGCTTAACCCACTGCGCCACCCAGGCGCCCCAATAGGGAGAACTTTCTAAGTGGATTTCAGACTTGTGGATCTAGCCCTGGTTCCAAAGGATGAAAAGAAAGGAGTTTAGAAAAGAAAAGGGGAGAAAGAGAAATGAAGGCAAAATGGAAAATGAGAAACAAAGATACAAGGGGTGGGGGAAGAAAGAACCATATAAAATGACAGCTAATGCAATGGCTTCTTTCTTTGTGAAATACCAACCGACTTTTGCATAATCTCATTCATGATGGATCTCTTTTGTCCCTCCCCACCCTGTGCATGGACTTTCACAAGTGCTTTGGGAGCCCATGGTAGGACCCAATAACCAAGAGAATGTCCTGGGATTTAATGTGTGACAGGGTCAGAAACTCAAGAAAAGCATAACCAGTGGTGTGCAGAGATTGAGGGCATGGCGGAAATACCATGGGGGAAATACATACCATATGTAACCAAGACAAATTTGTCATCTCAAAGTCTTCCCTTCCTCCAATTTCCTGTCCAGAGCCCTACTCCTTGTCTCCTCTGTGTCCCTCCTGCTGTTAGGTTAATGGGGATGGTCCTCTAATCAAAGTCACCACTAGATAAAATCACACCTTCCCTTTTCCCACACCCCATATTCTCAGTCTCCAAAACCTGTCCAACCCTGCCTATCCCCTAAGTGCCACCCTAGGGCAGGTCCTCAGTTTTCCTGGCCTTGAGTCTTGGATACTGACTGGTCGCGTGCCTCTGGAGTCCCCCACTCTAATTAACTCTGCACATTTTTGTTTGTTTATTTGTTGTTTTGCCTAAGTCTCAGTTCCAACAAATTGCCCTCTTAACAACTTGTGATAACTTTTGAGTGCTATTAGGACAGTTTGCTACCCCACGGCCTTTGCACTGCCTTCCTCTAGCTAGAATGCTTTGCTCCTAAATCAGTGCTGCCCAAAGGCAATATCATGTGGGTCACATCATCTTATTTAAACAATAAATGTAACCAACTAAATTTAGCCAAAGTTGTACTTAACTAAATTGTAGCTAACTAAGTTTAAAATGTAGCTTTAAAATTTCTGATAGCCACTTTGAAAAAATAAAAACTGATAAATCTGATTTTAATATTTTTATTTAACCCAATATATTCAAAATATTATTTGAAAATGTAATATATATTAAACTATTAATAAAATATTTCACAGCCTTTCTGTGGCACAGAGTGTTTGAGATTTAGTATGTATTTTACATTTAATATACCTCTCAATTTAGACTGTTTCTCATCCTCAATAGCCATGTGTAGCTAGTGGCTACCATGATGGAAAGTGCAGTTTTAGTTATCATCATGACTTAATCCCTCACTTCATATTTCTGCTAAAATGTCACCTCCTCTTGGAAGTGTTCCTTGATCACCTCATGTAGAACTCCCTATGCCCCATATTTGCCTCTAATCTCTATGATGATTTACTTTTTATAGCACATCATTAAATACTTTTTGTGTATTTGTTCACGATTTTTCCGTTCTTTTAAAATGGAATCTACAAGTGAAGGATAACATTGCTGATTTTATTTATCACTATATCACAGCATTTTGTGCTGGTCTCAGTCTATCAATAACCAATGTTGGGTTGGACCAGCCCTTGTGGTTCTTTCGGATTGTCAGGTACCTTTCAGCGATAACCATCTGGAAACTTTGAAAAACTAAAAATTTATAACTTATAAGACCTGGAAATTATATAGCACATGTAGGGCCACACATGTGGCCTCAATATTGAGGGTAGAGAGAAAAACTGCTCAAGCATATGGTGTTCTGTTTTTACTGGGGTTGAGAATGGGGCCTTAGGGTTTCCCTGGCTCCCTTCTTAGTGGTGAATTTAAAACATAACAGCAGGGAGTTAAAGGGAGGAGGTAGAGGGGGGAAAAAAAGAAGGCTCAGTGGGGGAAGAAGTCCTGGCTCTATCTAGTCACGTGGCTGGTGTTGTGTTGATCTTAGCCCTCTTCGAAGCTGATGCCTCCCCCAATTAAAAATTTTTTTTTTCAACGTTTTATTTATTTTTGGGACAGAGAGAGACAGAGCATGAACGGGGGAGGGGCAGAGAGAGAGGGAGACACAGAATCGGAAACAGGCTCCAGGCTCCGAGCCATCAGCCCAGAGCCTGACGCGGGGCTCGAACTCACGGACCGCGAGATCGTGACCTGGCTGAAGTCGGACGCTTAACCGACTGCGCCACCCAGGCGCCCCGCCTCCCCCAATTAAAAGCTTAAACCAGACACCTGAATTACAAGAAATGCCTACTGTCAAAGCTTAGACTATACCCAGTACCTAGCACATAGAAATTGCTCAACTTACATATTGTAGATGATTAAAAATACTGCCACAGGGCTCTATCTTCTGCACTGGATGAGGATCCATTTCTCCCACTATGGACCAGCCGCTCTGAAATAGTTTCCATCCTTTTCTTGCTTACATTATTCTCTCCTTCTTTCTCTTTCCACATATCCAAATCTTGCTCATCCTTGAAGACTCACCTTGAAACCTTCTCATTCTCAGAGGCCTTCTATAATCCCTGGATCCAGAATTGACCTCTACCACTTATGTGCCAAAGGAACTCTTTTGGGGAAAAAAAATTTCCAGGCCTGGTTTATGGTCCATCACACTAGTATGAGTTGTGTTCCTATCTTAGCTCTTCCTCTAGACTGTAAGCTCCTTGAAGTCTGGAGCCATTTCACACTGGTCTTTGTACTGTCCGTAGCACTTAGATAAAATGGCTACAATTTGGATTTAAGCAAATCTTCATTCAATCAGGTATTCTCTCATTTAGTCGATAAATACTTAGTGAGCATTCACCATTTGCCAGGCACAACTGTGAGTGCTGGAGACATAGCAGAGGGCAAGAATATCAAAGCTTACAATGTAGTAAGGGTAATGAAAAGACACATGGCACAATCACATAGACAGTGTAATGTTAGATGGTGATACACCCTGCGAAGGCAGATGACAGAGCATAAGGGAAGGATGCCTGGTACCATCCTCTATGAGACAGTATGGTCTGGGAGGCTCCTACAGGGGATAGCATTTCCAGAGACATGCCCATCGATGAAGTGAAGAGCTGCACACGTGACCTGTAAGACCTTATGCAGATTATTCCATCACTCTGACTTCTTCTTCTTTAAAAGGTTTATTTGAAGATTAAAGTATATAACATATAAGAAATAGGCCCACATATGGTAGGGGATTAATAATAACTAATAACAATAAATGTTAACATGTATCGATCATTTACACTGTAATAGGCTTTGGGATAATCTCTTCAAATACCTTATTTCATTTAATCCTTTTAACAGATTCTATTTTGGTTTGGTTTGAAACAGAAAACCAAAATTAGCTGGCTTAAGCAAGAAATTTTGTTGAATAAATCAGAGAATTCAGAAATTAAATGGGAAGTTAGAGAACAAGGCCTACAAAGAATTTGGGGAATATGATGGAAACAAGCATAGGAACCAAGGGAGCATAAAGTACTTGGCCTTATTTGCTAGGTTACACCACTGAAGTCCAAGCATCTGAAGGATTTTTCCCCATTTCTGTGTTACCTACTCAAAGGTCAATCAGCCAAAAGAGAGAATGCAACTGGCAAAAACTGAGTTATGACTATGAAGTCCAGGCACCTGAACTGATAGTCTCCTCGAGGCTGTATACAATTGTGGGGTACTTGGTGTAAAAAAGGTTTTGCCCCAAATCCCATGGAACACTGGGGTGAAACTCAGGGCTTCTGGACTCCAGAGCCTTAGCCTTTCAGCAGTTGATTCCCCTGCTTCTCCCTAAATGCTGCCATTGTGATAGCAGAGGTTAGAAAAGAGGACATAGGAAGTTCTCTCCCCTTCCAAATCTAGAGTAAGAGATTTTATAAAGTGAGTGGATAAATGAATGAATGAATGAGTGGATGGATGGATGGATGGATGGATGGATTGATGGATGAAAGATGGTTGGATGGCCCCAGTCCAGGAGGTCTCCATGGGTCTGGCTTAGGAGAAGGGTGTAGAGAGGGCAGTCCATTGAGGTGCATGTATTAAGACACTGTATCTAATATGTGATCATTGCAGGTGGTTCCTAACATTACTTACCAATGCATGGACCTGAATCTTCACAAAATCCCCGACAACATCCCCTCATCAACCAAGGACCTGGACATGAGCTTTAACCCCCTGAGAAATTTAGGCAGCCATAGTTTCTCCAAGTTCCCAGAACTGCAGGTGCTGGATTTATCCAGGTAATGACTGAGATTTTACACACGGCAAAGGTGAAATGCTCATTGTTCTATCATTTTGTTCTTATGTCAGGAGTCTCCTCTTTATTCACTTAGTCATTCAACAGGTACCTTATTTGCTGTATAACTTTGGACAAGCCCCTTCCTTTCTCCAGGTCTCAGTTGCCTCATCTGTGAAATGAGTACCTGGACAAGACAATTTCTAAGAACAGTTCTATCTTTTGATTTTAGGACAGGGGAGAAAATTGACTCAAACTCTTTCACCAGCAGATATTTATTGAGTACTATTTGCTATATAGTATAGAGTCTACTAGGAAATAAAAGTTTATTGATATATACAACTCCAGCTATTAAAGAGGGCATACACACTTGAATGAAGTAACATATTAAAATCCTGAACATGATGTTAGGCCCATAGTAGGCATTCAATAAATGTTCCTTGATTCTGATTTGGGATTTTTGAACCTGAGATAAGCATGGGAATACACACCAGTAAGGGATAAACTATGTGCAAACTAGAGGCAAAATGTTGTGTCGTTCAAAAGAGAGGCCTTCTCTGCAGTGGGTAATCAAGACAGATTTCATGAACTGAGTAGGATTCAAAAAAATATCTAGAATATTGAAAGTGTGATAGAGATAGGGAAATAGGAAGATATAAGCAACCCAAGAAGAAAGATGGCAAGGTCAAAGAAAAATATCTGCTGTAAGAAAGAACAGTGACTAAGATTTTTCTTTTCTGATTCAGGGAAATGTAACATTTATTAGGGCAGGTGAAATTGTTATCATTATTTTGGGGAGAGAATTGGATTCTAAAATTATTTTCATCATTAGGGCCTTACTTTAAAATGTACTAGATAATGGATCATATTCTATATAAGAGTTTGGGGAAAATGCAGATGCATTTATATATATGGCTATTTATTATAGAAACTTTTAATAAATTCTAAGACCATAGCATGAAAACCTTCTTTAGAGCAGATCTTTATATAGAAAGAAGAGGGGACACCTGATGTTTTATACTCTAACTTGGACAGTGAAAGCGTATAACAAAGAGGGAATGGAGTGTTTTGAAAGGCAGTGGGGGTTGAGGAGAGAGCTCTGTGGGGCTCAGAAGACCTGAGCCAGATCTTCCTCCAACATTTACAGCCACATGGACTGAGGCATGTCACTTGATCTCCCTGAGTCTCAGTATTCTTTTTTTTTTTTAATTTTTTTTTCAACGTTTATTTATTTTTGGGACAGAGAGAGACAGAGCATGAACGGGGGAGGGGCAGAGAGAGAGAGAGGGAGACACAGAATCGGAAACAGGCTCCAGGCTCTGAGCCATCAGCCCAGAGTCCGACGCGGGGCTCAAACTCCCGGACCGCGAGATCGTGACCTAGCTGAAGTCGGACACTTAACTGACTGCGCCACCCAGGCGCCCCTCAGTATTCTTATCTGTGAAACAGAAATGATGAAACTTACCACACAGGGCTAAATGTGATCGTGGATGTTAACAGGCATATATATTAAGAACCTTATAAGGCAGACTTTGTAAGAATAAAAATATTACTATTGTTATAGCACTTCATTAGTTTCTGAATTTCATTTTTCTGAATAAGACTTTTTCAAGAACTATAATTAAGATAAACAGATCTCCCCTCCCCTTTTTTAAAGCAAGAAGTAGTTTCTCATCAGACCATGTGTTTTATAAGGAATACGTAAGGAACTTTTCTCAGAGGCCTTAACTATGTGCCTCAAGAGAGGCCAGCTCTCTCTCTCTCTTGATTACGGTTTAGGGCAAGGACAAACATAGTATTGTAGATATCCTTTCCCTTATCATATCCCTTCACAATGTTCACATATAGTGATTCAACTAGTCCTCTAGGATGCTTTGTAATAGACCAGGCACCCTGTTATTCTTATGGAAACCTATTGACACATGTATTTGCTTTTTTGGACAAGGAAACTGAAGTACAGAGAGTTTAAGTAATGTATCTACATTCACTCTCTACGTTTTGTAGAGCTTGCTGCAGCAGAGATTCATAGTCACATCTCCTGCTTCCAAGTTAAATGTTCTCTTCATCTTAATGCTCTGTTTCTCTAAAGTGATGAGCCCCCTTTGATGAGACAGAGCAACAGCAAGACCTCTCCAGTCATCTGATGCACAAAGCAATATACATAAGTTTATAGGTTACAACATCCTATAACTGAAAGTAACTTGAGAAATAATCAAGTTTAGCTGCCTCATTTAGAAAGGTGATAACTGAGGTCTGGAGAGGAAGTTTCCAAAATCATGTGATATGAGAGAGAGGACATCAAAGACACCAGAGCCAAGATATCTTGCCCACTTTTCCAGTATTCTTTCTATAGCATCTTCCACCTTCTATTGAATTACCAATCGATAACAAAAGCTTGGGCCAAAATGCTTTGATTACCCATGACCCACATGGAGGGGATAGGACAAGTGGAGAAATTGTTAACGTGATTCAGGTTGGACTAGGAAATAACTCACTTGCAAATTGTAACTGTCATGCACTTGTAGGACTGGCAGGTGTTTACCATTGACTTGCCATTCATTGGCTGGATAAGAACCTTGTCTGTAGGACACCTCTATGAACACTGTATACAGCATGGCTTCCATTCCTCTGGAGATAAAATTCAAAATCCTTTATCCAGTCTTGAAGCCTTTGCTTTGTACCCTCCTTTCTCCACAAGTTCGTCTCACACTCCTCCACTTCCCTCTCTGTACTCCAGACACAGAAGCAGTTTCTTATGGTTCCTCCATGTATCATGGCTGTTGCCTACCTCAGACTCACTTCCTTTTCTTGGTAATCCTTACTCATCTTTCAGGTTACAACTTAAGTGCTCTCATGGAAGCCTGCTCTGGTCCCCTCTGTCCAGGTACATTCCTTCCATATAAGGTTTCATAGTATACTTTCCTTTTCTTCCATACAACTCACTCCCATCACCTGTTACTACTAACATTTACCTGTGATAACCACAACTTTCAAATATCTAGCTATCATACATGGAGAACTCTGCATAGACATTGAGGGTAACACAAATGTGTAATTTTTTATGTCTTTAAAATTGACATTGACCGGTTATTTAGCATGGCTAACAACTAACAGCTATCCATATCATCTGTGCCAATCTGATGGACAATCACAATTATGTATGGCAGGAAATAGCTAAAGTTAATCCAAGGTGGTTACATACTCTATCAGCCATACAGTCTTCACGTATCCCAATTATTGATCTTTAACTGACTTCTTTCTGATGGATGTGTTGCCTCTGCTTAGCACATGTGCCTAGTGTGCTAAAAAGAGTTTGTCATTGTGTCCAGCGTAATAATACTGCATCTGTGGGGTTTCTTATTTGCTCGTGTCATGATCTGTCCTGCTTCATGTCTTTGTCGATGGCATAGATCATATGGCATGTCACATCTGTGTGAAGAGCTAGGTGACTGGGGTGGTTACTCCATTTTGAGTTTTGATTCAGCAGAAATATTATATAATCTGTATCTCTTTTCCCTGTAGGTGTGAAATTCAAATAATTGAAGATGATGCATATCAGGGCCTAAACCACCTCTCCATCTTGATATTGACAGGAAATCCTATCCAGAGGTTATTCCCAGGAGCTTTTTCTGGACTATCAAGTTTACAGACGCTGGTGGTTGTGGAGACAAATATAGCATCTCTAGAGGACTTCCCCATTGGACATCTCAAAACGTTGAAGGAGCTTAATGTGGCTCACAATCTTATCCATTCCTTCAAATTACCTGAATATTTATCTAACATGCCCAACCTTGAGTATTTGGATCTTTCCAATAACAAGATCCAAAATATTTATCATAAAGACTTACAGGTTCTACGTCAAAAGCCTCTACTCAACCTTTCTTTAGACTTGTCCCTAAACCCTTTAGACTTTATCCAACCAGGTGCCTTTAAAGAAATTAAGCTCCATGAACTGATTTTGAGAAGTAATTTTAATAGTACAGATGTAATGAAAGCTTCTATTCAAGGTCTGGCAGGTTTACAGATCCATCAGTTGGTTCTGGGAGAATTTAAAAATGAAAGGAACTTGGAAAGATTTGACAAATCTATCCTGGAGGGACTGTGCAATTTGATCATAGAAAAATTCCGGATAGCATACTTTCACAAGTTCTCAGAGGATGCTACTGACTCATTTAATTGTTTGGCAAACGTTTCTACCATTTCTCTGGTGCATCTGTATTTCAACGGGTTAAAACAGCTCCCTAAAAATCTCGGATGGCAACGGTTAGAATTGGTTAACTGTGAATTTGAACAATTTCCCACATGGAAGCTGGACTCTCTCAAGGAGCTTGTTTTCTCTGCCAACAAAGTTGGGAACACTTTTACTCAGGTTAAGTTGGAAAGCCTTGAGTTTCTAGATCTCAGTAGAAATGACTTTAGTTTCAAGAGTTGCTGTTCTGAGAGAGATTTGGGGACAACCAGACTGAAGCATTTAGATCTAAGCTTCAACAATATTATTACCATGAGTTCAAACTTCTTGGGCTTAGAACAGTTAGAATATCTAGACTTCCAGCATTCCAGTTTGAAACAGGTCAGTGATTTTTCAGTATTCCTACCCCTCAAAAACCTCCGTTACCTTGATATTTCTTACACTCACACCCAAGTTGCCTTCCATGGCATCTTCAATGGCTTGATCAGCCTCCAAATCTTAAAAATGGCTGGCAATTCTTTCCAGGACAACTTCCTTCCAAATATTTTCATGGAGCTGACTAACTTGACCATTCTAGACCTCTCTGATTGTCAGCTGGAACAGGTGTCCCAAGTGGCATTTAACTCACTCCCTAAACTTCAGTTGCTAAATATGAGTCACAATCACCTCTTATCATTGGATACACTTCCTTATGAACCTCTTCACTCCCTCCAGACTCTGGACTGCAGTTTTAATCGTATAGTGGCCTCTAAGGAACAAGAACTACGGCATTTTCCAAGTAATCTATCTTCCTTAAATCTTACTCGGAATGATTTTGCTTGTGTTTGTGAACACCAGAGTTTCCTGCAGTGGGTCAAGGACCAGAGGCAGCTCTTGGTGGAAGTTGAACAGATGGTGTGTGCAAAACCTTTGGACATGCAGGGCATGCCCATGCTGAATTTTAGGAATGCTACCTGTCAGGTGAGAAAGACCATCATTACTGTGTCGGTTTTCACTGTACTCTTGGTTTCTCTGGTGGTGGTTCTGGTGTATAAGTTCTATTTCCACCTGATGCTTCTTGCTGGCTGTAAAAAGTATAGCAGAGGTGAAAGCACCTATGACGCCTTCGTTATCTACTCAAGCCAGGATGAAGATTGGGTGAGGAATGAATTGGTAAAGAACTTGGAGGAGGGGGTGCCCCCTTTTCAGCTCTGCCTTCACTACAGAGACTTTATTCCTGGTGTGGCCATTGCCGCCAACATCATCCAGGAAGGTTTCCATAAAAGCCGGAAGGTTATCGTCGTGGTGTCCCAGCACTTTATCCAGAGTCGATGGTGCATCTTTGAGTATGAGATTGCCCAGACTTGGCAGTTTCTGAGCAGCCGTGCCGGCATCATCTTCATCGTCCTGCAGAAGTTGGAGAAGTCCCTGCTGCGGCAGCAGGTGGAGCTGTATCGCCTTCTCAACAGGAACACCTACCTGGAGTGGGAGGACAGTGTCCTGGGGAGGCACATCTTCTGGAGACGACTCAGAAAAGCCTTGCTGGATGGTAAACCACGCAGTCCAGAAGGAATGGCAGATGCAGAAGGCAGCTAGCGTGGAAGAGTAACCTCTGCCTGAGGAGGAAACACTCCTGCAGTGCTTCTTGCCCAGCTTGACCCAGTACCTTCGTTCACTAAATGAGAATTAAATGTTGTGACATACCTGGCGCTGTGCCAAGGGCAGATGATTCAGTGGTGCCCGAGGAACCCAGGACTGCTGACCTCATGGGGTTTACAGTGCAGGGGGAGTAAGTACTGTGCTAAATTACAGAATCTCCAGGTGGATGTTTCAACCAAATCAGCTAAGGAGTCCATGGCAGGGAAAGTCAACTCAACACTTACCCCATCAAACTGAATTAGACCTAAGACCCTGGGCCCTAGTGAAATCAGAAGAAGGTATAGTTCTTCACCTGAGTCTTCTGGATGGAAACTACCTCATGTTTTACATTTTAGCCAGCTTAAATTTAACTGAATGAGGTCTTTACTCACTTTTCCCTTTTCTATTGAATGCAATTTAAATTCCACTTGATAACTCAGAAGGCTCCTGATTGAGACCACCTCCCCTCCAATTTCAACCTGTTTCCTTACATAGGCTAAAGTCTGTAACTAATTCCGAAGGAAATCTGAGTAATACATATCCACAAACATCCTGGTCTTTCTTTTGTATGTTCTAAATATTAACTAACTGTGCCTGATATATTTTTGTTTTTATAAATCTAGTTCTCATTTTTCATGTCTTCTCTATAAACTCTTACCATAAATAAGGCTTTTAGAGACATGCTAGAAATTTCCATATTTAAGCACTATCATTCAAGAAAATATGTGAAATTCACTCCATCACTTTGTCGCTTGATGTCACTCTAAAGTTATTAACTACTACGTTATGACTGTCATGAAGGAAGCATTACAATGATTTTGTTTAAAGTGGCACTTTTTGTAAGAGAGAGGGACAAGTCCAAATTCCTGGTCTTATAAAGAGCAATTCAGGCTAAGGGCAGGCCAAGAAATGGGATGGCCTCAGGAGGTCATTTTTTGATGGTCCTAGAAACATATGGCTGATACAGTTGAGGTGACCACATGACGAGAGCTGCAGCAGTCTCTTCCACAGCAGATGAATATTGCCTGACAGGACATTGATGCCTTCAGGGATTGTGAAATAGTTTAAGGTGGGGAGCATACATTGTGGCTTCCTGTTGGGTATCACTCTGTGACCACATTTAGGAAGGAGTGGATGTTATGACTGAGAAAATAATGTCACTGAGGGTAAAGTGGGTCACGTTGAGGAGAATTCTTCAAAGAGCACACACTTATCTTCCCCAGAATGGTACATTCAAAGGAAGATCAGTGAAGACACTTGGAAAATATGCTTGTCAAAAGTGAAAACATGGCCACACCCAAGAGTGTGCTTGTGACGGAGTGTTTCAGAGTGCATTTTCATTGCAATATAGTGGGAGGTGTTGCACACAGCTGGGTGTGCTTCTGAGTCTTACGTGGTAGTGAAAGTGGATAGTGGATCTATGTATTTGTGCATGTCTCTAAGTATTACTGTCTGTGTGTGGACGCAAGAGTTTGTGTGTGTGTCTGTGTGATTATGTCTGTATGGAACAGTGTGATTATATTGCAAGGGGAATATGTGATTGATGTGAATGTCTACAGCTGTTGCTTTATTATTTTTATTATTTTTTAACGTTTATTTATTTATTTTGAGACAGAGAGCAAGCGGGGGAGGATGAGAGAGAGAATCCCAAGCAAGTTCCATGCTGTCAGTGCAGAGTCCGATGTGGGTCTCCATCTCAGGAACTGTGAAATTGTGACCTGAGCTGATATCAAGAGTCGGATGCTTAACCGACTGAGACATTCAGGTGCCCCTACAGCTGTCTGAGATAGGTTCTCTACTCTTGTGTTTGTATGCGATTACTTATATACAAATGTCTACATTAGATTCTGAGTATGCCTGAAGGCATGTGTTTTCTGCGCGTGTCCACGCTACAGTGAGTGTGTGTTTTGCACATGTGTGTTCGTTCAAGCAAACATACAAGACTCCAAGGAGGAAAATCAAAATGTAACTAGAGTGTTTCTTGTATACAAGGCTGATGCTGGCCTTCTTCCCATCAGCCTCCTCTCCCAGATGGGAATTCAGAAAATTGCAGGTGAGGTAGACCAGAAAGGAAAGAAATGATACGATGGAAATGTAAGGGGAGGAAAGAAGAAAGTCAGGCCTAGGGCAAATTCTTTGCAGCTATTTAAGTCCTCTGGATTGAAAAGACATGAAGAGTGGAATAGAGAGAAAGTAATACTAGTTGGAATGCCTTAAATTTGTGTAATACCTTACAACTTGGAATATAGTCACACAATTACGACCACATGTAAATTTCTTATCATTGAGGTGAGGTAGCAGGTTAAGAATTAGTTTCCTCATTTTACTGACATTAAACCTGAAGCTAAAGGAAGTACATTTATTGTCAATAGGCCACAGTGTAAATGACCGGCAGGACCTGGACTTGGGCCTCCAGCCTCCTCAGGGCAGCTCAGTTTTCTACTACACCCCACTGCTTCATGCTGAGAGTTGGTAAAACAAGAAGTGAAACCCCTGTAGTTTTCTGTGTGGTTGACGCCAGTCAAGGGTTTTTCACTGAAACCATGAATCTTTAGGCAAATACATATGCAATACATATTATATATCAAATGATTTACTTATAACACATTTCTTTCCATAAAGGATGTGAGGGAGATTCAAATGGGCAATAAGGCTAACCGATTAGAGCCAGAAAAGCTGGACAAAGAATGAAAAGGGGAAAGGAAGACACTAAGCGTAAGGTTTAGCATACCGTTTTCCCATTCAACCGTTGGAAAG